CCCCCCCCCCCCCCCCCCCCCGGTGGAAAAACACCTCCTCGGAAATTTGTGGGGGAGGGGCGCCAAACGAACGCTACATCCACGAAATGGCAGGGTGTCTACTAAAATAGGCTGGCCAAAAATCAGTATTTTTGCGGTACTCTTTCAGTACATTCCCAAGAAATTCAGGCCTTCTCAACAGGAAAATTCAGTACTTTTTCAGTACCTCCTATTGACGAAATTCGAAGAATTTCGAAGATTTGAATTTCTCGCTTAAAATGCGACAGAAATGACAAAAAAATGAAAAAATCCGGACCTTCTTGCGGAAATTCCGCACTTTTTCAGCACTTCCGGACCGCCCTTAAAAAATCCATACTATTACCGGATATTCCGGAGTTGTAGACACCCTGGCAATGGCGACTCTCGCGAGTTGGCAACACTGATATCTTCAATTGGATATATTTATGCCAAACGGACCTATTTGCAATAAGACATGAGCGCTGAGACCCATAAGAATACACGCAAAACAAGGTTCACGTCATAATGCACATAGTTCCGTTTGGCAGAATTACGTCCAATTTTAAGTAAGTAGGTAAATCAATTTTTATCAGTGGCGAGGCGTGAATGATCGAGTTTCGATAAATCCTCATTCAAAGCTAGGGTAAAGAATCGAGTTTTAAGGTTTCCGTTGCGACCACCCTATTTATCGATCCTTTCCCATAGGATTAAATGGTAGACAATCGATATATTGCAAAGTACGCCGCGCCACTAAGTTTTTCCTCATGGACGGACCACGAGACATGGGCAGAGTTTCAAAGCAACGCACACAATCGCATTTCGGAAAAAAATATACTTTAATCTTACCTTTTCGGGTTAATAAAGTTACAGATATTTTATTTTTATAAACTGATGTAAAAGACATCTATATCATCTTCAATACTTAAAATTTTAAAAGTATTTATAAATTAAAAATCTAAAAATTACAAAAATGCTGAACAGTGGTTACATACTTAAAAGCAAGTAGATTGATTACTAAAAATTGAATTTATTCATTAAGAATGCAGGAACGTAACTTCATAGAAACAGAAGTAGTGATGATTTATGTGTTAATTTTCGCATTTTCTTCTAAGATTTGTTGAATTTCTGTTGTGTTTCTAAGAGAGAAATCCCTGACATAAATAGGACAGCTAAATAACGTATGTTCTAAATTTTCTAATTGCTGCGATACACCTAGTGTTGGTAAATGCGAAGGATTGGCACTGTTACAGTGCAGTGTATTTGTTTCCCTGATATGCAATCGTGCAAGCTTGAGAGTGAAAGACGAAAGTCTTAAGTCTGGAAGGACTTTCTTCCCGTTGTTACTTACGAGTTGCTTGGCAGTGGAGATTGAGTCACGTCGGGTTTGCGACACCCGTTTTTGTTCGCGGGGTTTAATTAATTCCGGCCAAGTTGGTAAAATTTAGCTCAAACGTGAGAGCTGAGCGAGAAAGAACAGCTAAGGAGGTGTCCTCCGTAAGAACAGCAGGGCTGATCATTGAAATTGATAGACAAAGCGTTAGACAAAGAGGGCACAGAGAATATAGAACAGGGTGTCTATTAAAACGTGCTGACCAAAGATCAGTGATTTTAAAGCCTGGATACACGCTCAAATTTCCGTCAATTTCCGATCAAAATCATGACAAAAATGGCGGATGGTAGATGGTGCGCACCAGTCACCGTTTGATCGGAAATTTGAGCGTATATCCAGGCCTCAACAGTACATTTTCAGTACATTTCCAAGAAATTTAATACCTCCTCAACCGCAAAATTCAGTACTTTTCCAGTACCTCCATTCGACGAACTTCGAAAAATTTTGAAAGTTTGAAATTCTCGCTTGAATTGCGGTAAAAACGACGTAGCCTTTAAATTTCATTGGGTGCCTTAAAGATCAAGTGACTGCACGATCATGATCTTGCAGCCAAATATTACTCTTGGAATGAACGCACAGGGGATTGCATATTTTCCAGGGTTTCTTAAATAGCGCGCGTGGTATACAGGAAAAAATTCCGGACCTTCTTGCGGAATTTCTACACCTCTTCAGTGCTTCCGGATCGCCTTAAAAAAATCGGAGCTATTTCTGGATTTTCCGCACAAGTAGACGCCCTGTAGATGTACTTAAATATTTAAGAGTGCTTAGATTCCCCGCTAAATTAGAGCAATGACTTCTAAGTTTCCTCTCCTGAGTGGCTAGAAATCGACTAATATCAAAAATAATTTTTTAAGAAAAATGTTAATGAAAAAATCGACGAAATTCGGTGCTGGCAACGTGCGCGAATTTTCAATATGGCATTCTATTTTCAAGCAAATGCCACCGGCTCGCGGATAAAGGAAGGCGCATGTGAGATAACTATTCGTGCTCTATGGTGTGTTTCTGGCCTAGCTTCCGATTTGAAGGCGCACCGCGTAGCTTGTCGAAAAGTTACTCATTTTTCGATTGACTTTCATTACGCGCAGCAGCGGGCTGATTATTGAAATTGATAGACAAAACTATAGACAAAGAAAACGGAGGGAAAGTGGTGCGCTCTTATTGGTTGAAAAGGGTTATTATCATAGACTGAGGGGGAGAATGGACTTAGAATTGTGTCCCTTGTAGATTGCCGTAAGTTCGTCTATTTCTTACCTCCGACGCAGGAGTTGTTTTTAGACGGAGTGCTGGTAATTTTGCTAACGGGCAAGCAATACTTTTCTCTGTGAGGTAATATACTGCCGTGCTAAGAAAGAACGCCGTATGAGCCTTCAGACGTTGCCATATTTCCTTCATTATAAATTAAATTTCCTGGGAAAATTATGAACACTTTTCTTTAAATTTTTCAGACGATGTTGAAAGCAATTTAATTAAAGGTATCTAAAAATTTCACGGCAAAACATGCATGAATTTCCTCAAAAACACATGTTTTATCCGGGAATATTTGGCAACTCTCGAATAGTCATACGGCGTTCTTCCTTAGCGAGGCAGTATACTACTCGAATAAGCATTCCCTCTGTGTGATGAGAATTTCTCTTGTGTTCTGCAACAACACTCCGTTAATTACTTTGATGCTTGATCATTAGAGGCAAAAATAGGGGACCTCAAACCTTAAAATCAATCTTCAATTTTTAAAATTTATGTACACTACTTTTCACTGACGCTAAAGATTTGGCAAGCTTGTCCTCCGCTAAACGGGAGCTCCCACAACTCCACACCTATTTGATATTCATTCACCGCCTCGGAAAAGAAGCAAGTACGAAGGAGTCATTCGCGACGGTACCTTCGACTTTTAAGTAGGAACTGAGAAGTAAACCCGCCATTCGATCGTTGAATCGTTATCGAGTGAGGTCGATCGATAAATCCCTATCTTGGCAATGTTATATATCGATCGAAGTCATTCGATAGCGATTCAACAATCGAGGAAGTTACGGCGGAAACGGAGGGGGTTGAACGCGAACGCCCGCCTTTCCGATGTTCGATTTCCGAAACAAAGAACTATGAGGTCAGCTATCTGAACCGCCCACGCTAATTTCCAAGGGCTTACGTTTGCCTCTGCCTTTTCACCGGAGAGAATGGAATATTTTCGCATACTACAGTTCGGTGTGCCGAAGAAATATATAAAAATTACTAGTTTTCTCACTGAGCAATAAGTCATCTCCTAGGAGAAACAATATCACAAAAAACTAGTTGTGTTTCTTGTAACTACATTAAATAAAATTGTTTAACTGTATTGACAATACAACTAGAAGCTTTATCATTGGCTCTCACTTGAGAGAACGGGATATGTTGGTGGCAAAAATGCTATGTACCGGAAAAATTAGCCATACATTGCCAGTTCCATAAGTTATCGATAACTAAAAAGCCTGGAGGGGAAAATAGTGCCTTAAAAATTTATTTAAAAAAAAAACAAAAAACAAAAAAAACCGCTAGCTTTGTCATTGGCTTTTACGAGAGAGAATAGGCAACTTTTACATTCGTTAGCAGGATAAGAAATTAGGTAGTTGGTTAATTTATACCAAAGATCAGCAACTAGGCTATTTGGTTGGTCGGTTAGTTAGTTAACTTACAACGATCAGCAACCAGGCTATTTGCAATACATTTCGACGGTGAAAGTCGGCAATCACATAACTCGTTTGCGGTGTCTGATAATCTCCGCCTCTACGTCATTTTCTTAAAGGGGAACAAATTGACATTATTTCTTGAAGTTTTTGCAGAATTTTCTTCGCATTGAGAAGATGAATCATGACAGTTTTAAAGAATTGCCGTTGAGTAGTTTTGCCATTTAAAAAATAAAGTATGACAGGAAGTCTACAACGTCGCAAACCGAGTTATGTGATTGCCGACTTGCACCGTCGATTTGTGTTCTGGCATATATATGCATAAATTTCTCCATTCTACAACCGAATTTAGAGATTAAATTTCGCAACTTCCGGTGACCCATATCCATCAAATTTCGGGGCTTGATATCCACGCCTCACGTCAAAACTTCCGAAGTTAAAACAGTCGTGAAAGGAGGAGGGAACAGGATATTGATTTGAAAAACGGATGTTGAACTAATAATAAAAAAAAAAGTGCACTTTGTACAACTGTCACACTTGACATTCAGTAATGGGTACTCATAGTACAGTTACTCATAGTATACGTTTTGTTCACCGAACATATAGAACATAAGAACGTAACTCCATTCCAAAGTTGCGAAATTGATTAAAAACTATTCAATTTTTTGCGAGAATGTACCCTGTAATTTTCCCCCAAAATTTGTCAGATTTTTACAAGGGATCAGAAAAAAAATGAGGGGAAATTTTCATTTAGAAACACCCAAAATTCTCCTGGTTAAACTGCATTTTTGCAGCTGCAAATTTGCGAGTGGAAATCTGGCAACATTGAAATGCAGTTACGTTCTTTCGTGAGGGGGAGGATATTGACAGGAGCATTATTACAACGAACACGGTACATCGGAAATTTCGCAACTGGACATTGAAAATTGAGAATGTTCACTGCATGAGCATTGTGCCGCACACCCCTAAGCAGTATGGGCAGTCTTGGAAGTCTAAGAAGCCGCCTCTATTGTTGTAGGAGCAAAAACTTCTGACGCACTCGACGCATTGCTCAGTATAGTCCCTCTTGCATTTGGGCTTGCATACTTGAGATTTGCACTTTGAGAATGGGTCTCCCATCATCATACATCCAATGATACATCTGATGCATCCAAAAGTGCTTTCATCGTCTCTGTTACCCTCATCAATTTCTGAAGAGGTTTTTCTAGCGACTTCTTCTTCATCTGCGACTCCTTCAGGGCCTCCGTCTTTAAAAGCAAAGACCTGCAATAATAATCGCAGGTAATGATATTGCGGAACTACAAAATGCAGTGGCCTGGCGTACTTTGCGATGAATCGATTGTTCTGTCATTTAAACCTATGGAAAATGATCGATAAACAGGGTGTTTGCGACAAACACCTTAATAATCGATACTTTACCATAGCTTCAAATGGGGAAATATCGATAATATAATCGTCCATTCACGCTTCGCCATAGGCACCATGTTCAAACTCCAAAAAACAAACGTAACTCAATGGAGTTGTACCATTATTTCCTGCGCCTCCTTCATTTAATCTCTTTTGCTAATTTGATTTTTATCCACGAAAATTATTTTCAAAGTTGCCAGAGGTCCAGCCCTGTTTCAAACGTTGCACAAAGTATTTGTAGCTGAGCGAGTTTCTACTGTGATTTTCCATGTTCTAAATTTTTAGAATTTCCAACCAGAGACAGGAGACCCTCCATTGGGCGACAGGTGGAAGCTTCTACTTTCGGGGATGGTTATAAGGGAGCACCAGTCATCAACCTTTTTTCGGATGTTAACCTCCCTACTTCCTACTAGGGGAATGATGAACTTCAGGTGACGTCATAAGCCTAACGAGATTGCCAAACTTCGTTATGTTCGCGAAACAAAATGCGCAACACGTTGTTAACCATCCATCTAGTAGGTAGGTCATCAGTTGAAAGTTGGAGTCCCGCAAGTAAAAGCTTCCACCATCGCCAAGATACCAGTGGAAGGTTTCTTGTCTCTGATTCCAACGGTTTTCGCTAGCAAATTAGATTACTACTAATTTATCTAACATGACAGTTAAATTCAATTATAATTAAAAAATAAATGAATGAATAAATAAATAAACTATACCTCAATTGAATTAATAATTCTCAAAAAGCTTAGGTGCCAAAAATGATAATACGAGAAAAACAGTAGAAACTGTATTAAAAGACCAATTTTAAATCGTAAATTAATTAATAGTGTGATTAATTAATTAAATGCTTCGATATTTTAGGGCTCTTGAATTTAGAATAACTCGATTTGAAAAGTTTCTACTGTTTATCTCGTATGTTAAATTCACTGGAGTCTTTTTTAAAATGACAGATTCAATTATTTTTTATACCGCACTAGTCTATTGAAAGAGGTACAAAAAGTAGACCTTCCTTTTAAGATACCTCAGTCATGATTTTCCTAACAATGAGGGCAGTCTAGTCCTCCGAGGAACGCTCACACTATGTCAGCCTATCTAAGATAGTTTTGGTTGTGCTTTTGAAAATGTATTATTTTGCTCATATTTTATTACCAGCGAACAGTAGTCAGCCGAAATCGTGCATTTAATCCGCGATATTGTGAGGAGGTGAAAAACTCTTCAAAAGAAATTCAAAAATTTGAAGGAAAAAAAAGGGGACCAAATTGTGTCAGCTCTTTCACACGGTGACGTAACATACTTCGATGAGTCAAAACCGCTCTACTGACCAACAGGGGCGGATCCAGCAATTTGGCAACACCGGATTCCCTCCATTCAAACCTATGTTAAATAATCGATTCTTGTTAGAGCACCTAGCCCCTTCAAGAATCGATACATTTCCATCGGTTTAAAAGCGATGGAGAAAAACAATGTTGCCAATTTGCTGGATCCACCAATGCCGACCAATCATGAAGCGCTAAGCTGGACGTAAGTGTGGTCAAGACTCGTCTTAAGTATTTTTAGTACGGTGGAAAGGACCGACAAAATTCTGTGCCAGATTTTAGAGATAACGTGAGTAAGTTAATGAATTACATTAAAGACTGATTTATAAATTCAATGCAGGTACTGACCGCACTAACCAGGACGACCAGGAGAAGGAGACCTGTGTATTTAATGAGAGATCTCATTCTGCGAATGGATCTCGACTTGAACAGGCGATGACAGGCCGAATCAAAAGCGTGCTGAAATGCGACTGGGACTAGACTCAAGGTGAGAACGATTGCAGTCGCATAAAATAGAAGTGACACTTGAAATTTTATGACTCGCATAAACCTCGAACTTCAATCCCTCTCGTCATTTTACGGTCTTCGGGGACTACGCAAGTTGCAGTCTCGTAGATTTGTTACAGCAGGATTCTACTTCTTTGGGTCTTTGAGTTATATTTTGTCGATGAAAATACAGGTCGACGTAGCCGTATGATTCTAACACACACGGACAGGGCGTCTACTAAAAGTTAATTTTTGATTTTTCTGATATTTCCCTGACATTTCTCGTATATTTTTGAAGAGATTTCCTAACTTAATGCGTGAATAAATTGACATTTTTTTTATTTAAAAAAAAAACAACATATTTAATGAATTGAATCAAATTTTTAAAAACTCTTCAATCTTTCGGAAGCCCCTGATCCATGACTGACTTTCCTAATATTTTCCTGATACCGTCAAATTTCCTGCTAACATCAAATTTCCCCATATTTTCCGGCTTTTCAAATTTTAACTGACGGCAGACGCCTTGGTGGATAAAATGTCTCTGTTGGATCAATATATATTCCTAACCATGATTCCAGGACGAGAATTCTCATTGAGTCAACAGGCAGACGCCTTTGTTACAAACAGTATGTCTGTTATATCAAGGAGAGAAGGAGACGTCCTGTCACTTTAAAAGAAATCTGGTAGAAAATTCTCGTTCGCGGAAAGTACGTAATGAACAATTTTTCTTAGGGTAGGTATATACACACTAGTTTCAGCCAATAGGATCGCTCCATGTTTCCTATATCTTTTTAGTCTATTGCTTTGTCTATCAAATTCAATAATCAGCCCGCTGCGGACCGATTATTGAAATGTATAGACAAATCTATAGACAAAGAAGACATAGGGAGCATAAAGCAATCCTATTGATAGAAATGGGTGGTTCTCTTAGACTAAGGGACTAAATGATGGACTAACTATCGGGTCGCTCGTGGGTTGCCGTTAGTTAGTCTATTACCTGTATCTTGTTCATTGCAACCACCCGCTTCCATCAATAGAATCCCTCCATATCCTTTTTGTCTTCTTTGTCTAATGCTTTGTCTATCAATTTCAAAAATCAGCCCGCTCCTCAGATTTAACCTTGTAAGAATGAGAGCTAAGAGAAAGAATGGACGTGCGGGGCTAAGCTATAAGCTTTTAAGTTTTCCATATAATATCCGATCGCTCCCAGTAACTTACTCTAAGACTACGCGACGGTTTTTATGGTTGATCCAAACGAGGATAGCCCATCGCATTGTGGATCCTCTTCATCCCCATTGGGCATACGCAACAGGGCACATGTGGGCACATCCGATGAATTTGCAGTAGTTGGGGGAGGCGTCCAACATCCTGCAGTCGTCTGTGCATTGCTTGCAACCGTACGCGACTCCATTTCGCGCGCAGTAGTCTCTACACTTGAGCTCACATCCGTTGGCCGAGTAGCCTTTCGACACGCAAATCTGCTGACAGGCTAGGCATCGTGGCAACGCTGGTTCGTCCCCCCAGAGGGACTGGGCCAAAACCTAGGACAACCAACAACGCATCAGCATCTAATCGTTTCAACCCGTTCACTGCCAAATTTTCCATGGGCCACCAACAAATTTTCCAACACTGGAAAAAAAACACACTAGATCTAGAGTCCAGACTCTTGAAAACATTGAAAAGAAAAAGGAATCTTGATCCAATCAGATTTAAGCTTAAATAAAAGGAAATCCACTCAAATGGTCCACTCAATTGGTTCTTGATTCAAGCTGAAATCTGATTGAATCAAGAGTTTTTCTTATCGATGTTTTTGAGAGTCTGGACTCTAGATCCAATGTGTTTTTTTTTTTTTTTTTTTTTTTTTTTTTTTTTTTTTTTTTTTTTTTTTCCCAGTGAAGAGCTAAATCTAACTAAGCTCATTTTTTAAGAAAATTGTAAGTCCTCTCCGATCAAAATCGGATCAGGAGAACCCAATGAACTTTTCTGACAGCGTAAAATTTATGGGGTGGTAGTGGGGGGTCGAGATTTTGGAAATAAAAAAAATCTGATTTTTTGCAATCGCTAAAATTTCCGATTTTAAGAAAAATCTTCTTTGAGGTTCAGAGGATGGAATCCCCGACCCTCCTCTATGTTTCACTTGGTTATTAAAGCAAGCAACTGGTAGCCCCCACCCCCTCCACTCGAAAAGTTATGCTCAAGCCTATATAGTTGCTTCATACGAATAGGGTCCCTTATAGGGTCCTCCTCCACAAAATATTTCTAGCTACGCTCATGGTGACAAAATCGTCTTCAAGTAAGTTGTGTTTCCTGGGGTGTGGGGACTGACTAAAGGATCTCGATAGTAACGTTGCATAATGCCTTGCTAAAGGAAGAACGCAGGATGAACGTTCGAGAGTTGCCAAATTTTCTCTGGTAGAACATTGATTTCTGGGGAAATTCACGCATATTTTTCCTTGAAATATATTTTTGGATGATTTCGTTGTCAACCAAAGCTCAGAAAAAGATTTTGTTGACACCAGATTTGTGTTGATCTCAGAGGCGTAGGAAGGGGGGGCCAGGGGGGCCTGCCCCCCAGAATTGAAAATAGTATCATTTGCCCCCCCCCCCCCAGAAATTCTGGATGGTGCAAAAACACCTTCTTCAATAATAAGTGTCGGTCGCCGTGGCCCGTGAGAGTATGCGTATAAATAGAATAATCCGTTGAATGCAACGATTTCAAAGTATTTTAACCTTAAAATGCATAAAACTGGGTGATTTTTAGGCAGAAATTGAAGGAAGATTAGCGCCACAAGTGCCTCGAGATGCGCTCAAATAGAGTTGAAATTTCAAAAAATTTCCAGGGGAGGCCCCTCGGACCCCCCAATGAGCTAGGGGTATTCCATACCCCCCCAGGCCCCCAGCAAAATGACCTGGCTACGCCTATGCATGATCGTCAACAGCATACTATGGAATCCTGTCGATAGGACTTTTTTGAGTGGAAGAGCGAGGAGGATACTGACCGATGTCGTGAGGACGCAGAGACAGAGGACGTACTTGGTCAAGGGGTGCATTTCACCGCACGAAGTCCGGGCCGGATCGCCAAAGAGGTTCTGCTACGGCAAGGGCACAGGAAGACTGAGCTCTTCCTCGCCTGGCTCCGAAACTCGGTGCGAACCACATTAACGGCGCACATAAACCGCGATTTCCAATTCCTCGCGCGATTTTTACGGCCGACGGCGCAAAGTGGAACGAATCAATAGGAAAGGTTGGACATGATCTGATAATTTAAATCCTCGTTACTCAGTAACTAATTGTAAGAGGGTGGCTGCCCCCCTGGTCACTACGCGGTCGAACCTCCAGAGGACATTTCGGGCTCTTTCAGGCAGGGTTCCCATTCGACGTCCGTCAAAAGTTCCGGGATTCGGAACTTTTTTGTTCCAATTTCTCCCACGCCATGACCGTTAAAATTTCCGGGATTTTTTAGATTTTTCAAAAGTTCCGAAGAAGTTCCGGAAAAGATCTCGCAAAAGATCCGGCACATTCCGGAAAAGATCTCGCAAAAGATCCGGCACATTTCGGGAATGTCGAATGTTCCGGGAAGTCTTCTTTGGGAGGCTTTCTCCGACTTTATCTTGACGTAAGTGCATGCAGAAAAGTAATGGTTTCAAAATTACTCACACATGCAATAAGAAGAGACACACAGATCACCATTTTTCATACCTGAAACAAATTAGACAAAAATGATAATATAGTAAAATATGCATTTTTAACTTGAGAGCTTTAGCATCGGCTTGGGATTGAAATTGAGCACTTAATCGTATTTTTGCGTAAAAATTTTGGTACTAATTATTTCAGACTCATTTTGGAAACAACGCATGTGCTCTGAATTTTCTTATACCGAAAGGTGCTGAGCCCTGCTCTTCTACGGTTTCTTCTTTTTCTTCTACACTTTCCTCTTTCACCCTTCCCTTTTTCTCTCCTATTTCTTTTCCTTCCATTCCTTGTTCTCTTTCTTCCACTCCGATTGTGATTGTCCCCCATGCAGATAAGCGCTATAATGCATGAGCCAGAAATACCAGTACCTTACTTTAGAATGTAGCCCATTCGTTTTTCCTTTATGAAAACAGCACGCGATTCGAAGCGATGCATTTTTTAGCCGGGCAAAACACAGCAAGAGTGATGAAGGTGGCTATAGGACGGGTGGGAGAGGGGGGGGGGATAAAATGCGCTTATGAAAGCAAAACTTTTAAAAGTGAGGAATGAAATAGCTCCGAGCTAGGCAGAAAATCAATGAGAACGTCCATCACGACTTCTTGTGTTGTCGGATTCGGCGCTGAAATTCCAAAATTTCAGCAATTTCTACTGAAGAACGATTATCTGTGGCAACGATTGTGAGAACCTGCGGATGGTGGAACACCGCTGATGCTCCAGCCGAGTGAGATTATTTCTGAGGAGGAACCGTTTCGGATGAGTCTC